CCAAAAGTATCCCTGGGGAGACCAAGACACGTGGGATCTCTGCTGGCAGTGGCTGAAGTTGGAAACATGAACTGAGATTTAAATTTTGAAACTCGTTTAGGGTGGAGCAGCTTTCCCCAGTACTACTGGTAGAGGATAGAGAATGGATTCTGAAGCATGAAGCAGAGACATCAGCTGAGGTGATCAGGCTGGAAATGTCTATGGCAGCTGAGACTATGTTGGGGGATGCTTAAGGAAAGCCTACTGGAAGCAAAGTTGTTAGCTTGGACAGAAGAAAACCAGTGGGGTAGATTGGCATTCCTACTGGCCTTGAAAGACCCCAGCAGGTCTTGAGGTTTCCCAGTTGTGGCAGAGGAGCCTGGATGCCTTGGGTCAGAATGTGTTTGCAAGAACCTGACTAATTCACAGTGCCCTAAAGAGAAGACCAGGATGATCTGCTGCAAATACAGTCAGATCACTGTGTTCCACGTTCAAATACATGGTCTTATACAATGATGCATACAGGCCTTAAAGCGAATGCTCATAATGTTACAGTCTATTGAACTGGGACCAGATGCCCCCAACTTCTTTATTTTGCTCTATCCCTGATAGGAGCTTGAAGTAGGAGAAGCTAATGAACTATGTGAGAGACAGACTTGGTGTATTCTATACCTAGAATGGGAGACGTAGGAGAAACAGCACCCAAAGGAAGGCAACATTGTAGTGTACATAGTTAAACATCTGAACGCAGTTGGATTCCACAGTTGGGTGTCTAAGCCTCTGACCAAGTGGCATAGGCCCTATGGCATTAAGTGGGGGATAAGTGATTTACAAAATTAGGCAACATGATTAAAAGAAGAGGTTACAAATATGGCATGAGAATTCTTCCAAAAATTTGGAAGACTCAAAGGGACATTGCTCTGGCCCCTTATTTCCTGAGCCACAGTTAGGGTCTCAGGTGGTTGTCTCTCAGACAACAGTGCCTTTGGAAGTACAGAGGAACCAATGCATACACCTAGGCAGAAGGCTGTAGTTGTATAGGTGTCCAGAAATCAAACCCCTCTGAGGGTTCTCCTCTTGCCAAAGCAGAAAACCCAGGTGTACCAACCCATGGCCTTTTTCTCCACTCTGTTTTAAACCCTACATGGATGGCTACACGTTGAACCTATAATGTATAGAAGAATAGTAAGTAAAGGAAAGCTTTGCTCACATCCCAGGAAAAGGTCAGAAGTGGTAAAACAGGAGCTCATGGTGGAGTTCCCTGTGGTTCAGTTGTAGAATCTTTGTCTGCCACACAGGAGACCTGTGTTCAATTTCTAGACACCCACACAACTACAGCCAGGGAGGCACCAAATGCCTGGATTTGGTCTGGCCTTTGAATTCTGTCTCAATGGCCTAAATGAGGGATGGAAGGTCTGGGCAGCCTCTACTCCTCCATACTCCTGCCTAGGCATATGCGTTGAACGTCTAGGTGACCTTTCATGCATACACCATGATATGGAAGGATCTACAGTTGCCAAACTCATAACTAAAATCATAGCACAGCTTGCAGCAGCTGGTTTTGTTGTTGCCGTCTTTAGAGGTGATACACACAGAAAATGAACTGCAGCTAGCTGGATGGAGCATTATGCAGGTGTACTTTTCATGCCACTAACCCACAAAAATGGTTCCTTTGTCACTTGTTCTGGTTTGGGACAGTATTGCCTATTGGCCTCCATGGATCTCTGCAGCCTTTTGGTGTAATGGACTGGGTCTTCTAGCCACAAGGCCTAGTATGCCCCTGTTTACCTGGATAACCTGATCATTTATAGATGGAACTGGGAGACGCACCTAAACCAAGTGCGGACCATTTAATAAGTCCCTGGAACAAGCTGGAAATGGCAACAAATCCAGTTAATAGAAAAGTGGGAAAGCTAAGACTACCTACCTTGGAGAAGGTCAGATCCAACTACTCATTGACAAAGTTCAGACCTTAAAAAGACTAGCCCCTCCTTACCAAAAGGAAACAGGTATGAAGCTGAAACTTGTGCAGTGGTACCACAGGTTTCCATCTAACATAGTGGTCCCCCTCACAAGCCTAATCTATGACTGTGGCCTAAAGAAACTTGACTGTTCAGAACCTCATTTGGAAACCTTGCAGACACTGGAGTTGTGTCTGAACTGATAGTCAGGGCCATTCTCAAGCCTCTACCTGCTGTTGTCTCAAGCCTATACATTGCAAACACCTAAACTCAACCCCCCCGCCCCCAACAACAGCAATGGCAATCCAGCCTGACCCAGACACCTCCAATGAACCTCCAATTAATGGGTCATGGATGCACTTTGATATTACCTCCTCAGATGCGTATTTATCCTGAAGGCTTGTCAGATCCCCTACTGACATGTAAGTGCCATGAAAAATACCCTATCCTAAGTAACACGTTGGTACTTAGTTTTGTACCCGTGGTTGTACTTTCTAAGGGAAAGCACATCAGCATTAATTTTTTTCCTCCTCTTGCTGGGGGAGTGGGGAAACTGCTGTTTGCTCATGATCCCCTAAGTACTGTATGGGAGTGAGCATGCTATGGTATATATAAACTCCGCACTGGTCAGGAAAGGGTTAAGGAGCTGCTGTAGGTTTAATCAGCCCTGACTACTGTACCTACAAAGTGCTTGGAGTGAAAGCTTAGAAGGGGAGGGCCTAGCTAAACTGAGTGCTGAATGGGAGGGGGAATAGCTTTTTAGCCTTTACTCTGAGAGGAACCTAGCTGGGGCCAGGAACAAATTAGAGACTGCTGCTTGCTAGAGCTTCCTTAAGAGAAGGTAGGCCTTATGTGCGACTACAGTATTGGATTTACTCTGGTGATGGGACAACAGACAAATAACACCCTTCTTGTACCAGCTTTGGACTTGGTAATGATCTGTTGTGAGCCCAAGAATGATTCTCTACAGGTAGTGGAAAATGTGGGTATGAGCTAGGCCCTGCAGAGGAGAAAGCCTAATAATCGAGAACTTGAACCACTCCAGGGCCTGATGGCGGTGAACTGACTGGTGGTTACATGGGCATCTGCTAAGTGTGGACCCAGAACCTGCAGCAACCCAGTGGGCAACCCAGTAACAACTGCCCTTCTAATGCTTTCTCACAATGTTGTGTGTTAGTTTCACAGATTCAGTAAATTGTAAAAAGTGTTTCTTTTAATCAGTTTTAAAACTTTAGCCTTCAGTTTTATATAGCATGCCCCTCTCTATCTTATGCAAAAGTAGAGAGAAACAGAGTTTTCCACCATACTATTCAATGGTTTGTATTCCTGTCATGTTTCTTTCCTTTGAATTTAAAGTCCCAATCTCTCCTTGTATGCAAGGCTTTACAGAATGTGGCTTTTTCACTGCCTTCCACTGGAGCATATCTATTTCTAATACATTATTCTTTTAAAATGGGATGCTGAAGGCTGAGCAGAATATTTCAAGTGAAGGCCATACTATTGATTTATGTAATGGCATAATTTTGTTTTTCGTATTATTCCCTATCCTGTCCTCAATGCACTTTAACGAAGTTGGTGTTTTTGACTACTGCCTAAACAGAGGATTTTCTCCCCTCCCCACCCTCTCAATAATCTGTCTAGAATGACAGCCAAATTTGTTTCCTGACTGGTTAATTTAAAACACAACAGCATATGTAAAGAGTTCAAGTTTGATATGATGTGAATTACCTTGAACTTGTCTAAGCTGGAATTCATCTGCCCCCGTTTCCCATGTTGACTAGTTAATAGCTTCTTCCTATGAATTGTAAATAAGGAAAAGGACAACCTAGTGTATCCCAAAATTGAAAAGACCGGAGTGGAGCTTGCAAGGGACAAATGTCAAAATAACTCAATGTCATTTTGTCTGAGAAATGAATTAGAATTTATAGAAAGCTGAGAACCAAAAATGATCTTTTAACATTTTTTTTGCATCAAAGGAAATGGACACAGAAAAGTAACAGAAACACGCATCCTATTCCAAATTAGGTTACAAGCTGTTCCTATAGCTGAGCAGCCAGAGCTTTAACCAGCACGTCTCTGAGATGAGACAATGTAGGAACATGTTGCTATCAAGACCTCCTGTGCAAAGCTTGCCAATAACAAACATGGCAAGCAACTCTTGGGAAAGATGCATTTAAAATCACATGCTCAAGCCTACCAAGGATCATGCTGCATGCTGCTGGAAGCAGGGGATGATCATGAAAGAGAACTCTGCCCCAGAAACCCATTAAACTTTGTAGGCCAGGAAGCAGTGGGATGGGGGGATGTTGTGGGGGAGAGGCCAGGCTGTGAAGATCTCTTACTCTCCTGCCTTTGGAAATTCCACCAAAACGTTTTAGGCACTTTAGAGGAGTAACTTATCTTTCTCTCTGGGCTGAATTGACTTCTGTCAAATGGACACAGGGTGGAAAGAAGTCACTTTGGGTAAATGAGAGTAAAACAAGTTGGTTGAAGCACCTGGACAGAACAGGAAGAACAAGATATATACCTTTGCTGCCTTGTTGATATGACTTCTGCAACCTATTTATACAACATACTTAGATTGTAAGCTCCTTGGCACAAGGATCATATCTCACTCTGTGTGCGTTGCACCTAGGACAATATGGCCCCGTCTTCAGTGCGTCCTGTAGGCATTCCTATTTTATGAATATTTAATAACTAATGATGCCTCCTGGCATTTACCGTAAATTATGCATCAAGTCCTCCTTATTTATGCAGCAGTTCTGGTTTGAATTACATGGTTTAATAGGAATTATGTGACAGAGTTAACAGATTACAGAATCTTTCAGTAATCTTCAAACTGCTGCTTTTTTGTTTTTAAAGAAGGCCCACAGCAACATGAATACTTCAAATCAACACAAACTGCTGTTTGCACTATAGCAGAGGAAGAGTTTCCTTGCATCTTCCTGATATTTCCATGGTAGTTACAAGTTTAATTTCCATGAAGAGTGAATGTGCAAGTATATAATAAAGAATAAAGCCAAAACCCCCTTTTCTCCTAGTTTTGCTTGTGAAGTGAAGTAGCAGTCATGAAATCTCTATTTAATAGCTTGGAAGAAATGAAGGATGGTGCTTGAAGTATGTGGTAAGTTTAACTACAAAAGTCATCATTTTATGTTAGCACCTTGAGAGGAATTTGATTTAACTTTAATGAGCTAAGTACCTCAGCCCTGTGGCTAAAGGGAGAAGTTAGGGGCTCAGAGTTACTGTGGCTGCTGTTTGGAGATTGCTTTCTCACAGAGCAGGGTAATGGTGAGGGCAAACAGCTCCTGCAAGGCTATGGGTGTGGACATACAATAAACTTAGCATGAACAGAAAGGGGGTGGGGTTGTATTGCATTTCAGCTGTTCTGCAGTGAGGATGGGTAATGGAAGATGAATCATGGTAGCTTAGACCTCCTTTGCTGAGGATATATGCTAACCCTAGAAAAATGAGGATTAAAAAAGGTGCATTCACCAGCAGTAAGGATCAGTCGTGTTGTTACTAGAATACTAGAGAGATTTATTTATGCTGTCCTCAAACCCAATGCATTTGTCATGCCAACAATGGGGCTTGTCAATTTATTGGTTGTTTGTTAATAGTCAGAGGAGGATTCCCAGCTAGCACTGCCATAGATCAAGTATTCTGCACTACTCCTAAGTGTCTCTGTGGCTCTCACCTTAATGGGATCTTTTATGCCCTGCCACTGTTGTCTAACTGGCTACTATTAAGATGTAACAAACTAAGAATGGGAAAAGGAAGAGGAATTCATCTGTGCTTTCTAAGGTGCCTGCAATAAAAGTGGAGGCAAAGCTGCTCTGTCAGTGGGACATGCATTCCAGCCTTCAGGTTCTTCTTATCTGGGGCCAGTCCTCCCAGAATATTGTGTAGTACAGAAAGGTGTGCTGCTGTTTCTACAAATCTGAGGGAAAATTTGAAAAGGGATCACATTTATTATGGAATCAAACATACATAACATCCAGTCTGAACATTTCGGATCATTTCTTTGGATTTCTTGATGTATTATTGGAAGTTGCAATCCTGCCCATTTTATTCTGTTCTTTTAAACAGCTGACAATAGGGTAGAGAGTATTTGGAAGGACTGACTATTAACCCATGATGTTATACAACTTGCAGATAAATTATGGCCTTTGGCTCAGCAGACTGATTCCAGCTGATTAAGGTGCTTTTGTATCTGGATGTAAAACTCCAAGCACTGAAAGCTTCATAGACTGAAGTCTGGTCCGGAGGTATGATCAGTGAAAGCTGTAATGGGTCATGTATTTACAAACTACTCTGAAAATGTCCTGATACTTACAAGCTCATTCATGTGCATAAACAAATGGCTTTGTGTGTGTAAGAAATAGGTGAGTGAGTACAAAAGTGCCTATGGTTACGAATGTAGCAATTTGGGTGGAGTTAGAGGACTGGTTGAAAGCATTTCTTAATGGGTTTTTTTTTTTTATATCATTAATTGCCAGTGACTAAAACAAAGAGTTACATAGGGAAGACAATTTGTTTCTTGAAAGATTCTAGTCAGTAGCTGGAGTCTGCATTTTCTGAAGTTTTTATGGCTTAATGGACAGGAAGAGGAATTGTTCTAATGTCCTTCCCGCTCCTAATCCATGTAATTGATACTGCCTTTGACACTGACTCCAAAAATAAATGGTGTGGACACTTAAAGGGATACAGTCAGCTTAAAATTCCTGTTTTCAAAGTTGATCTTCTTTCCTGCATTATTAATAGTTCTGTCCTCTGCTTTCCCTCCTTTAGGGCCCAGTGTGAGTTCTGATGACTTCAATGGAAGAACAGTAATTAACAAAGGATCATTCCTATTCCATAGATGTAGATGGAGTCCTTTGAAAGAGATTCAGTGCTTTCTGTTATATGAAGGGTGTGCAAAGATGCTAGGGACCTGCATGGAAGTTGCTTACAAATGCCTACCATATAGATTACATGCATATTGGTGCATAGTTTGAACAAGACCAGAGAAAAATGGACTACCATACAAATAATTCTGGACTTCTACTCTACCCTCGGTATTGTGTAAGAGGGGCCTTACATAGAGACTCTCATCATCCTTTATGCTGGAGTAGCAACTTCAGGGTAGTTCCTAACAAATGAATACTTCTCCACATCCTTCTTTCGTAGTACCTACCTTAAGTAGTTTTCTATATCATTACAGCTTGACTGTCTCACTACAGAGCTGAGCTAGCTGCACTGCATATATATGTATAGTGCCTTCTCCCTGAGAGGAAGATTATGAACTCAGAGTGGAAATGGTTGTGTTGCAGCTGTTACCACAGGCCAGCTTGAATCTAGGTCTATGGATTGTTTCCTATAGTTTTACCCAGAATGCTTGAGCAATGACCAGCAAGTCCATGCCAAGTCCTCCTTTATACTTTTGTTTCTGGCAGGTTTAGTTTAGCTATTGCTATTAACAGTGTTCAGAGGAGCCTTCTGTAAAATATGGCTTCTGTAAGTTTGAAGGGGGAGGGAGCCCGTTAAAGGTTCCCTTGAATTTCTAAGGGATAGTGTGGCTGATGACATTACAGCCTCCAAGCTGTCAGTGTGCAGTAGTTCAAGATCTGTATGAAATTCTCTGTGCAACAGGGGTGCATTTTGTTTTTAATTTACTGCAGATCCCCAGCCCTTTGGTAAGGTAGTTTATAAGATTTGTCCAATTGCACATTTCTTACCTGCATTCCAAAATGAGAGAGTGAATAAATGAGTGCAGTAAGGTATATGTGTAAACATTGCAAACAGCCATAAGGGGGATATTGTGTGACTCTCAGATAGCCAGGAGAGAGAAGGTTTCCGTTTTTCTAATGTCTTAGATTAAGACCATGCCACAGGTGAACTGCTTTGATTAACGAGGCTAAGTTGCCCAGAAGGTGTGGGTAGGAGGTACCACTGAGTCACGCTGCTTGAATCAGTGCTTATATGAGCATGCAGTTTGGCTTCCTCATTGTTCCAAAAATAACTTTTACTGTAACATCTGCAAAGCATGGCCCCTGAAGGAGACAGCTTCTATTGGGCAGCACTTATTAAGCAGATGGCAAAGTACATTTGCATCTTATAGACAAAATTAGGGATATAGATATGGCATAATCTTTTGTGAGCTGCAGCTCACTTCATCAGATGTGTTCATGAAAGCTTATGCTATACAGATATCTCTAATGTAGTCTATAAGATACAAATCTACCTTGTCTTCTGCTTGATTTCAGACTAAGATGGCTAACTGTGTCTTGGTACTTAACATACAAATCTGCCACTATGGGAAGAATGTGGAGCAAATGCCTAAACAGTGACGCACATTTTCCCACTGTGCATGTGACAGCTCCTCCACATTGCCTCTGTTTGAGGCTTTCCTGTCTCATTTAACTCTTATTTGTGCCACTATGCATCTTTGCATCCCTCTTCCTGCTGGGTGTGTCATCTTTCTGTAAAATGGGAGATAGTAGTGGAAATCTTAAAGCTTATAGTTTGGGTCTAACAAGATCAGTTCTGTTTAGTTTGAGTGTATTTAACAGAGAAAAAGGCAAACTCTTTCTGTAATAACTCTGATTTTCTCTTTTGAAGAGTCCCATGGGACATACTGTTATGATGTTTACAAGGCACTCCTGCATCTGCTGTTCTGTGGTTTGAGGCGCATTTGTTCTTGAGCTGCTTTTTGTATTCTCCTTGACTCCTGCTTCCCTGGAATGCATGAGATGTTGTGTTGGACTAAGAGTTTGAGTTGGGCTGATAGGCTGCTACTTGATTTCTGGCATCAGCAGTTCCTTTTGACCATTTCCCCCTTTACTGCTGGATTGTGTGTTTAATACCAGCCACAGACTTGATACAAGAAACAAAACAGACCGTCCTACCACATAATTTAAATATTTTGGTGTACACTGGGCTTACTCCTGTGCTCTTTGATCTCAGTGGGAACAAGATTGAGCCTATGGGGTTTTTTTTTTGGTTTTTTTTGTGCAAACACTAGGCTATGGTAGTTGCTTATTAAATAACAGCACTGCATGGAAGATTGCTGCATTTACACTCCACATAAATGCAAAAAAGATCTGTAATGAACAGTAGTGGTTTAAGGTAGATGCTATAACTTGCAGACATGAAGTAGTCCAGCCACTGCTAGTTACAAAACAATTTTCTTAGGACGCCACAGTTCAGGAGAGTGATGCAGGAGCTATGCCTTAGAGAAGTGATGCTACCTACACTCTACTATTCCCCTGAACACTTTAACACATCACTGGTAATGCTAGCAACCAGCATTCTGACATTACCAGGTCCAGCCCCTAGATGGAATTAAAGTGTTGTAATTTAGCGCTTGCCTGCTTCCCATTCTGCACTTAGTGGACGTATGTCCTGAATAACACCACTGCCTTTTCCCCCCCTTTTTTTCCAGTTGTGCCTCTCAACCATTGTATCATTTTTTTTTTAATACCTGATGTTTACTTGTGTGATGGGATCAAGTGCTTCTTTAAGGCTACTGCTACAGGCTGAATTGTTTCGATGGTGCGGGAAGGCCAAAAAATGAGATGGGTGTGGCAAATCAGGCCTGTGATATTTGGGCATGAAGCTGGCCAGCTTATTTAAATGCAGATCAGCAGGAATCTGTTGTGGTAAGTGACTTGGGTGACCTGATGTGCTGTGGAGAGGTATCATCAATGATGCCTCCGGAAAATCCTCTGTGTCAAGCGGGAAGATCACCACGCAAACACCAGCTCTTCTTGGTGAAGCAAGTGTTAGCCGTATTGAGTCGGTGATCTTCAAGCATCAACGCCACTGAACCGGACATTGCGTGCGGATGCTTGATTCTCGGCTCCCCAAACAAGCGCTCTGCTCCCAGCTTAGTAATGGCCTGAAATCTCACCGGGGCCTGAGGAAACACTACGAGAACGCGTTGAAGGTAGACCTTGAGAAAACGGAGGAGCTGGCGGCCAACCAACTAATGGCACAGCAAACTCAACCAAGCGGCAGCCCCTTTCGAGAGGAAGCGTGGTGTCCTCGAAGCAGAGAAGAGAGAGGGGAGGAAGAAAAAGGAGAGAAAGACCTCCAACTTCTGTGCAGGGGTCTATGGCTCAAAGAGTGGACTCTCAAGCCCCAGGAGCAGCTGGGCCTCCAAGGGAGAGATTGGGGGGGCACAGCACAGCTAGTCCCTGCGGGACAGGCCCAGGGAATGCCCGGCGGTGCTGGGGCATCCCAGCCGGCGCCGGGGTCCCCCTCCGGGGCCAGCAGAGGCAGCAGGAGCTCTTCCGGCCGCTCCTCCCTGCCCCCAGGGAGGGGGAACCTTTCTCCGCCCTGCGGAACCTTTGCGGCGGAGGTGCCTGTTGCTGCCCGGGGGATCCTGCGGCGCCGCGACTGAGGGGACGGAACTGCCCGGACCCCAGCGCTGGCGGAGCGGCGCCGAGGAGCAGCGCGGCGGAGCGGGCGCAGCGCCCGGGGCCGGCGGCAGG